TATTGGAACTTTTCATTTTATTTTATCATTGTCATTTTATTGAATATTTAAGGTGTTTATTGTTTTATTGTTCTGGCTTATAATTAAGTTTTTTTTTTTAATATATAATAAACTTTTGGAGTCAACCTAATTCAAGATGGCTGCCTAATTGACTATCCTACACATAAACAAAAACAAAAAGGATGAAACGCAGTGAATTTTACAGATATTAAGCTAAAATTCAGTGTCAAATACTTCAAAAATGACAGTGCAACTTTCTGATTAAAAAAGATTTAAAGTGAAAATAACTTTATTTCGTCAACTTGTTTATGCATATATTAATTAAGTGATGTGAACGTTTGGAAAGAAAAGGCTTGATTTAAGTTAGTCCACGAAAAATAAAAAAATAAAATAAAAAATATAAATAAAAAGTGGTGGGGATTTTGCATTGTAAAGAGTTAAGTCTAACAATCTGGGCAACAACTTTTCTCCAATTCCTGCTCAACTAGCATAGCCTACCTGCTAACCAAAGASATTTTTGTTTATCTTTTATTTCTCCAAAGACAACGAGGAATTTTGCACATTTTTTTAACTCACTGGAGAGCATAAGCAGGCATGTTAGATACTTTAAATATTACAACTTGGTGAATTACCAGTGCAATATGACTATAAAAACAAACAAAAGTCAACTATGATAAAGTTTGATATTTGATGAAGTTATATAGTGATAGTTCTTTATGTTTTGATACAACCGTTTAAGCTTTGATGCCATAAAAGATTGATAAACTGTCAGTTCCCTAACAGTTTATTTGCAGTAGATCCTATTTCTGGAAATGTGAAATGTTTTCTGTTTTGTTTCTGTCTCAGAAAACCTACGTCCACAAAAGCCTTCAATTGGTGATGACTTCAGTTCTACAAAACATGCTTAGCAAATTTTCTGTTCAGGCTTAAAACACACTGTTTTTAAAGTTTTATGGTTTATTGTGTACTTTCTATGAAAAATTCAAATGGGGTAAAAAAAAAAAAAAAAGAAGTGACTGATGACAAACTACCCAGGTACTTATAGTTCACAGTTAAGAGTTTTACAAGTCAGGTTATTGTAATGCTTTGAAAATGTGTTTTGTTGTGGGACGCCAGAAACATGTATTCTTTTGAGGCAATGAGTTTGCACACATTTCTAAGTAAAGTCCACTTATTGCATTTTACAGTGTAAAAGTTTTGTATTTCTTGTGTTTCACATTGGCCTTTTGTTAAGATGCTAAGGATAGCAATTTTTAAAAAATAAAACACTGAACCTTGTGAACATATCTTTTGTTGTACTTTATTCATATGAGGTAATCGGTTTCCTGGATTCTGCTAAATAAACCACAGTTTGTGTAAGTTGGACTAACTTAATAAGTTAATAAGTTTATTTTATCGCTATTTTTAAGTTAAAACAACTTTGCTAAACTAAGTTAAATTAACTTACCATGATTAGGTGCATACAACAAGGATTTAAGTACACTGAACAAGTATATGTTAAGTAAACAAAACACAAGAGTAATAGTTATACTTACTTAGATTTTTCAAGGCAATCGGTTTCCAAGATTTTTGTTTTTATAAGATCAACTTGTAAGATTTTAAAGTGCAAGTTCATGCAAAAAACATGAAATAACATGCTATTTTTACAGTTTGACTAAAATGGCTCCATTTCTCATTTTAAGATAATTTTAGTTTAAAACTCTGGCACAAAAACTGATGAGTGATACAGGATGGATTTAAGGAATGCTATAAACTTAATGTCTGTGTTGCTATCTGGGCATGAGCAGACATGCCTTTTTATTATTATTTTTTTATTGTTTTGCATTTTAGTTTTTTGGAGTCATTTGCTGTTTGCCAGCTGTGGCCACATGTTCACTCATCATGGGAGTAAATATCTATTCTAGGTCATTCTAAACCTCTTAACCAATATCATTCCGTTTGAGGACAGAGGAGAACTGGTGAATCAAACAAGTGTGTCGCTGAACAAATTGTTTGTATGCTGGCACAGGAAGACAACCAGCTGCAGTCAATCATGGTCACTAACGAGAAGTCGAGTCTCTGGTCTTGTGACATTAAAATAAATCCATTGAGGGAGCACCTCACTCCCTGAGAAGGCTGTCCAGCCGTTTCAAACTAGAGGCCAAGGAAAACATAAAAATGTGTGATGCAAATAAAATCAAACTGGTTAGAATATATATATATATATATATATATATATATATTTAGTTTATAGACTAAAAAAATAATTTGACACAAAAATTCTTCCTCCCGCCTGCTAAAAAAACCCCAATTCAGTCTCATTATAGACATAACTGAAGCAAGGCAGTGACTAAAAAAAGACACGAGGTCCTTAATTAAATGAAAAACTAATCCGTTTGTTTCTGATGTCAACAGAACTTCTCAGAGTGACTCAAAAGGGGAGAATACATGAGTGGGTTAAAACCTTCAGTAGAACTTTCTGGTCCTCCTTTCTTCAGAGAAGTATCATTCTGACATTATTCAGTGTTTTTTTTATTTTATTTTGCATAACAGCTACAGCAGTTCACTGAGTGCAGCACTACAGTAAAAAGGCACATTGGTGAAAGCAACCAAACATATGGATATGAAGTTTTAGTCTACACTGACATTCATTACAGTTTTAAGTGGGACTTTTACTCATAAGAACAGAAAAAAATAAGTGCTCCATGTTTTGAGTCCAATAAGAGGAAGCAGAAGGTCCATGTGGATTTGGGACACTGTGACACAGAGCGACCCAACCAGGTCAGGGCTCCGTGATGCTGGTCTCACTTCAGTTTTCTATACTTCTCTTTTTCTGATAACTTAGAGTTATTGGATGTGGTTAAACCTAGGGGTCACCACAACACAGGAAAGTCCATTTTATGGAAGCCGGGCTCTCTGCGCAGTTCCCAGTACATGTTGTTGTTCACCCACATGTCATCCTTGGACTTCCTGTCCACACAAAACACACAAAGTGAATATATCTGCGCTGGTAAAAATGTATCTGTCAGCATATTTCAATAGTTCAATTTTTTTTCTAAGTTTTTACTTGAAAAATCGTGGCTGGTGGATCATGTTGTTGTCCTGCAGCACTCTTCGCCTGTCCCTCTGGAGCTGCTCTAGCCTCTGTTTCTGCTCTTCGGCTCCGTCTGTGTTCCCCTCCTCCAGCAGCCTGGAGGAAGAACAGTAAATCAGTAAATCAGTGCAGGTTTGACCCTGTTAGCAGCCAGCGTTCATCTGATTTCACCCAAATATTACAGTTTTCTGTAAACTCAACACATTAATAATATAATCTCTGTTTACTGAGCAGTGGTATTCTTGTGATTTATTTGCCATGGTGATGGCTGCATCCCTGATTTCATGTCTGACGCAGTTAAAAACAACACTTTACTGAATTACCATAAAAATATGTTTTGTTGTTGTGCATTTGGTGTATTAT